TTATTAATAAGTAATTTTAAATATCTTATTACGTGATCTGACATGTATCTTATCAATTCCTTAATTTAGATAAATATATAATTTTTTATATATTTACTTATTGGATATTATGCAAACATTTATAAATATCTTTTCAGGAAATTATGGAAGCTTTTTCCGTCCTTCACTTTAAAAGTTAGGCACAAGGGACAATTTAACCCTTTTACTTATAAGATTGTGGCATGTTAGCCTCTCTACTTTAAATCAGTGTAAATCAGCCTCTAAACTACACAAAATCCACAACTTAGCGGTTAGCCCTTCTAGTAAAGATGACACCATTTTCCCTTTAAACTATTCATTGCCTCATTAAGATGGGATGAATAGGTTATAATTAGGTAATGACTAAACAATGATTTGGACAAAAAGAACATGACCTAAAAATTCCGAAAGTAACAAGTCATTGCCTCTAGGGTTTAACGGGAAATTGGCATCATTTTTACCAAAAGGGTTAATTTGCAGATTTCAAGTAGTTGAGGGGCTGATTTGCATTGAGTTGAAGTAGAGGAGCTGATATGGCACAATATTGTAAGTGAAGGGTTGAATTGTGCTTTCTGCCTAAAATTTAACATTCTTATGCTTTTCTCTATTTATATCAATACCCAAATTAAAATTTTCATCATAAAACTTTCTCAAAAAAAAAACAAAAACAAATTAGCATAATTTTATGTATGAATTTGATATAGAAAGGAGTATCAATGTGTTTGCTATAACGATTTGGAGGTAGTAGTTAGTAGTTTTGTTCTAATTATTAAGAATATGTGTTTGATAAATTTATTTGTTTTGAAAATACTATAAACGAGATGTTTGGTAGAACTTTTTATTTAGTAATTTGAGACTAATGGATAATAGTTAGGATCTAAACCATTAACGGATTAAAAAAACTACCTAAACCACTAATGGATTGGAATTTTTAAATTTTATTGATAAATTTATCATTTTTAATTTTTGACTGCCTTTTTTAATTAGAACTTATCTAATTAGTTTCAATTTTATTTTTTATCTTTAATAATATTAAATAAACATTATATTTTTATTTTTACAATAATTTATCATAAAAATATATATTAACTTAATAAACAAAATTTACTAATTAGACAACAAAATTTACTAATTAGACAAAAAAAATTAAATTTTTTTTATATTTTATTTTAAACTAATATAATTTTTTATTAAAAATAAAAATTAGTGTATGATTACACTATTATAATTTATTTATTCATTTATTATTATTTTTATAAAATTAATAATTTTAATAATAAAAAATATAAAAAGAAAAAATCTATTTTATTATTTTTAAAGATGTCCTTATCAGTCATTTAACTTTAAACAATATCTACTAACTATTGTATAACTAAATAATTATATTAATTAAATTTGTTATTTACTATCCATTACCGTTATCTACCATCCGTTACCACTTTCTACTGTCCATCACTTATTACATGCCATTGCTATCTGTTACTTGTTACTCATTATCCTCTACCTACTACCCACTATCTGCTACCTATTACCTGCTACCCTTGTGCTATCTGTTAAATTATAACCATTAGACCAAACAGGTTACCCATTACTTGCTATCCTTACACTATTTGTTAAATTATAATCGTTACACCAAACCAGCCTTATAATTAACCTAACTTTTAATTAATTGATTAAATTGTGGTTTCATAAAGCAGACTGATGGCTTAGGCCATTGAGCTAAACCATATGGTTGTAATTAATGAGGGAGAGTCCCACATTCAAGAAATAAATATTTTGCCAGGGACATTAAATTTTTGAATGCATGCAAGACAGATTTCATCCAATTTCCTGACCTTTTTATTGATTGATAGTAAAATTACAACTCCCTCACTAAATTGGTGGCCGGTTAGTATAAACAAAATATATATTCTTTATATGTTGGAAGATAGATTTTATAATAAAAAATAGTGATTTTTTTAAAATTATCTTTTTATCTCATAATTTAAATTTGAGATTTTTAATATAAAAATTTAAGTTCTTAATTACTATAAACATCTTTTTGTTTTTACTGACTCTCGATATTCAATAATCACATTAGATTCCGACTAATTTAAAGTCAAATTGCATCAAACTCCTTAAAAGAGAAACTCTCTTAACACCTATTTTTTCATTCACAATACTCAAACACAAGATTTTATTTAAAAGGAATCGAACTCTTTTTATTCAAATCAATAGGTCATTGATATTACTAAAACAAATTTTAGGAAATATAAAATATTTTAATTTTAGTAGCTTTTAAATTCTTAGTTTAAATTTTTTTTAAATGATATAGTTATAATATCCTATCGTATAATATTATAAATTTAGAATATAATATGTCCTTATAGAATTAATTCTCTTTAATTAGAGGTTCACTTGTGATGTTGTATTTATCCTCTTATTTAATAATATATCACATTCATTTAATGTTATATTATGATTGTAAATTTATATTTTTATATAACATTATAATTATAACTTTATTGAAAAAAATTTTTAAAAGAAAAATGATTTATTAATAAATAATTTTAAATATTTTATTACATTATCTGACATATATCTTATCAATTCTTTAATTTAGATGGATATATAATTTTATATATATTTATCTCTTTTTTTTTTTGAATTTTTTATCATGGGGCGGATTCGAAACCTACTCAGGAGAGAGGGATATGCACTTTTTCAATTGTACTAACCATTGGCCCACAAGGGCCAAGTGCATATATATTTACTTATTTGATGTTATGCAAATATTAATTATAAATATCTTTTGGGAAATTATAGAAGCAGTTTCCGTCCTTCACTTTAAAATTTAGGCAGAAGGTGCAATTCAGCCCTTTCACTTGTAATGTTGTGGCATGTTAGCTTCTCTACCTTAAATTAGTGTAAATCAGCCCCTAAACTACACAAAATCCACAACTCAGCCCTTTAAGATGACATCATTTTCCCGTTAAACTGTCCATTGCCTTATTAAGATGGGATGACTAGGTTATAATTACGTGATGACTAAGCAATGATTTGGACAAAAAATGTGACTTGAAAATCCATAAAGTAACAAGTCCTTGCATAGTCATCCCATCTTAACGGGGCAATGAACAGTTTAATAGGAAATTCGCATCATCTCTACTAAAAGGGTTGATTTGCAGATTTTGTGTGGTTGAGGGGCTGATTTGCCCTGATTTGAAGTAGAGGAGCTGATATGCCACAATATTATAAGTAAAGAGCTGAATTGTACCTTCTGCCTAAAATTTAACATTCTTACGCGTTTCTCTACTTATATCAACACCCAAATTAAAATTTTCATCATAAAACTTTCTCTTTTTTACTGATTAAAAAATCAATATGATTCATATGACCATAATATATATATATATATATGTATATACACATGAAACTAAAATGTCAATTACCTTGCCAACAACGTCAATATATAACTCAACCGTAAACCTTTTTCTTAATGGTAAGAGATTTTGAATTTGAATCACATGACATACAGGTGAAATGAGATAAGAAATAAAAAATGATTGTCTATTATTATACAATTTAAAAAAAAAAAATCGGTTACCTTTTAGCATCTACCCCTTACTGGAGGGGAAAAAAAAGCATCTGCCCCTTAGTTTTCTAACCTTTGAACCGAATATAACATATTGTTTTCTTTTTTCATATTTGACTAATTAGCAAGTGATATTACAGCACCATTACAGATACTTTCCACCCTCCACCAAAAAAATCTGTACCTGATACACTCCCATATATAAGTCACCTACTCATTTAAAATAGTTTTGGGTGGGTAACCATAACTATTCCTTGATCAAATTATTAAATAAGCTAAAATGAAGAAAGTATTATAAGAAATTAAGAATAACTAAGTCTTAATATCTAATTTTTCTTTTATATTAATAAATAATCAAAGAATACTTACTTCTTAAAAATATATATAAAAGAAAAAAAATACACACTTCTCATTCATCTTTTTGTTTGTACTCATAGCATTCTTTGAGAGCATAAGGGAACATTATTGAAACTATAGATTCGTAGCTCATAATCTTTTTTTCTTATCAGCAAAATCAAATAGCCTTTATATTATTCTCGGAGTATAGGAATACTCCGCCACAAAATACAAATATTTAAACCACTACTTAACTAAAGAGAAAAATCAAAAGTGCTAAAAACAGTTGTCCATAAGCTAAATACATTCAGGAGATGTGCCACAAGTACTCAAAAAACCCGCAAGTAAATCAAATCATGATGCATTGCATCTTCTTGTAATTATTCAAATTTTGATGATGTTGAACTATGGTTTCTTTACACTCCATAGGTCTTGATATCCAATATGTATAAGAAAACACACATTTTGGCTCTTTGTTTTTAATCCATAGAAAAGATTTTGCCTGAATAGATTCCAATAACCTCACTTCAGACAACAAAACTGGCCCAAACACTTTCATATTCCTCCAGTACCACACTAACCAAGCAGTTACCAAAAAAATAAAGGCTCCCAGCTCCTTCAAGCATCCCGCACTTATTCCATACACCACCAACTCCACCAAACCAAATATATCTTGTAGCTTAAAATCTGATTGTGGTCCCAAGTCCTAGTTAACAATTGGTTAAATAGAAACCCTAAATACAAGCACTTAGATTTAAAAGGAACTGGTCCTAAAATTATTTAGGGTTTGATCAAAGAACAATGTATGTGACTTTCTTTTTTTTTTTTATTAGCAACCATCTGAATAACAGGCATTATAAACTGATTTATTAAAAACAAAAGTTCCATGTTTTACATTCTAAATTGTGTCAAATTAGAAAATAAAGATAGTTAGATCAAGAGAAGGCCTCTAATGTTACGAGATTTGCCCTTCATCCAACGGCCCTTATTATGCATCTCAGTGTAGTTGTAACTATATAGTAGTTTTTCCTAAAAACAATACCGATTTGGAACTGAAACTAGACAGATCTGTTATATATGCATGCGAGCCCATGCAGTTCTCAATTTTGTAAACAAAAATTGCAAGTGTTAACCCAAAACCAACCAAAAGAGGCCCAATAGCTATATATCCATACTTTGACCAAAAATGCAAATCTCCTTGTTTTTGTTCAAAACTGGGTAGTAAGAAAATCGGAATTCTTGTAGTAAAAAAGGTGCATGCACAGGAAAATGGATTAAGTTAATCACTAATCTGGAATTAATTAGTTGGCCTAAACGTGGATTCCGATTTCTGCAGCATCATCACTCAGCTAAAGTTTGAAAATTGCCCTGAAAATTTAATAGTGACTTGGTGAATATTTTCACACAATAAAAATAATAAATTTTAAATTTAAATTGTATGATAAAGCAGATATATCTTTAGTTGTCTAATCAAAATGAGTAGATTTTTGCCACAGCTCTCTTGTTCTGATTGGAGGCAAATAATTTATTGATAGGACAGGGCACTCAAGTTGAACTTATTTTTTTTTTCAAGAAAAAAAAATTCAATCATGTAAAAGTTTACTCAATTCATATTCAAATTCCAGCACTGATAAAGGTAGCTCCCCCAAGATTTCTTTATCTGAACTGAGTGCTTCACACTTCTCCCAGTCTTGAAGAACATCAGATGAATTCATCACATCCCCATCGTTTGGACTGCCATTCTCACGAATTGAAACTAGCAAAGAATCAGAGATATTTGCCAATGAACTAGACATATTCTCTTCCATTTGAACCTGATTCGGGTTTTGTGGGTCACTATTGGCTATGTTGCTTTCTTTTTTTGGGGAGTCATCATGACTCAGATTCTTTTTTGTGACTGTCTTTTTATGGAATTGGTTGAGAGACGTGGATGTCATTTTACTTACCTTCTTAGCCAAGGTATTGTTCCAATAGTTCTTGATTTGATTGTCTGTTCTTCCGGGGAGTCTTCCTGCTATCAAACTCCACCGATTACCCAGAAGACGGTGGAGTTTGATAATGAGCTCTTCCTCATCTTCGGAGAAATCATCTCTCTTGATTCCTGGCTTCAAGTAATTCAACCACCGACGCCTGCAGCTCTTCCCACTTCTATTTAGACCTACAAGTAATTCATAATCTGCAGGTATATATTAATGATATGGTATTATATAACTATAATGCACCAAAAATGTTAGGACATGGAAATTAATGTTGTACCTGCTTGTAGAGCACGGGATGACCACTTGCATTGGCCATGGAGTTGAACTTGGGTGATGAGGAGTTCGTCTTCCTCAGTAGACCAGGTACCTTTTTTGACTTCACTGGTCTTCTCATCGTAAGCTCTCTCCTTACCCATGTTTTCCTCGGCTTTCTTTTTATGAAATCCATCTAAATATATTCATAATATATAGGATAGTCATGACAAAAGATTTCACGGGTAAAATAAAATAAAAAATTAAAAATCTTGTGATAAAGACTATATTCTTTGCTTGTGTAATTACTCAAGATTTTAAATTTAAATTTAAATTATAAAATTTGTTATTTGTATTCATTTGTATAGATTTAAATTTAAAATTTTTTATTTTTATTAAAAAGAGATTATATTAAATCATTATTTATGATAAAATAATGAAAAACAATAATAATTTTTTTTTACTAAGACAAAACGACACTAATTTTTTTGGTAAAGACAACAATAATGGACAAGGATACGTCTTTAAACTATCTTAATTGATAGAGTGAAGCAACCAGCCAATTTTTTAAGGATAATGATTTGTGGGACGAAAGTGGGGGGCGAAAATGAGAGCCGACAAGTGAAATTGATTAAATTACAAAATTACCCATTTAACCCACTTCACTTGTCAGCTCCCATTTTCGCCCCCCACTTTCGTCCCGCAAATCATTATCCATTTTTTTAAATCAACCCTCCACGTAAAATGTGACTATAGACCAAAATCATATTAGTTTGATAAATATGGGAGATCTGATCCAGGCTTTTGTCCCTTTGAGAAAAAAAAAAAAGGGGCACCAGAAGGAAAGAAGTCTCCAACCTTGAATTTTTCTCAGAAGTGCATCATGTCCATCACTCGTATATCAAAACTTTCCATCTTTATTGAAAGGAAATTTTTACTGAATCTTTATTTATGATATGATGGGGTAAAACAATAATTTTTTTGGTTAAGACAAAATAACAATAATTTTTTTGGTTAAGACAAAATAACAATATTTTTTTTTTTGGTAAAGACAAAATAACAATAATTCTGCATATTGATTTTTTTAATGTGAGTTCTGCATATTATTTTTTTTTTAATGTGAATCCCGCTTGTTGATGATGATTAGGTGTACGGAAACACAAATTGGACCTAATCATGGCAGTTCTGAAAAAAAATATCAATACTATAGTTAGTGCAGGTATGGTCACGAATAAAAAAGCAAAAAGCTAACTTCCTAATTTATTAATTGTAAATTAAATTTATTTTTATTGTATTAATAATAAAATTAATGTTAATTTTTATATTTTTTATGTGATTTATGACAGAAAAATAATTTTAAGGTAGAAGTTAAAAAAATTTATTAATTTTATTTAATTAAACTATTAAAAAGAAATAATTAATTAATATT